TGGTGATTTTGAAATCAAGCATTAATGTTTGTTTGCAAATTTGTACGTTTATAACAGCGCAACTTTAATTGAAGTAATATGAATATAATTAAACGATAAAAAATTGTATGATCAATCATATATAGTATCCGAATGGACATAAATACAACATTTATAAAGTAATTGACATCGGTAATGATTCATCGTTAAAACATTGTGTTATATAACATTTCAAAATATTAAAATATTATATTTTTGTTGGGTTTAAATTTTTAACACATGTAATCGTGAGTTTATGTTCAAAAATTAATATAAATATATAAAGATTTCCAACATGTCATATAAGATTAATTGAAATGTTTGATTTGTTAATGTAATTGATTTGTCTCTTATATTTTTTTTGTTTGACATCTATAAATTTTTTGTGAATATCTCTTCAATTAATATATAGATGATGAATTTGGATTTTGAGGTGGATGAAGTGTTTCAGATTATAAAGAAATGGTTTTCATATATGAGAAGTCATTGGTACTAGAAAAATGAGAGATAGAGGTGCACTAGTCACTCGAGTTCGAAGGTTTTGCAAAGTTATGTTGGTTTGAGTTGTTTTATACGGCTATCAATTAACAGAGGATGTGTTATGATGGAACAACACAAATGTGATGGTAAATGTGTTGTAAATTTTTGGAGATATTTTATCGATGAAATTATGTTCTTCAAGCTACTACTCGAGTGATGGAGGCGATGAACCACGTTTAGCGCTGTTTGATTTATTTATTTTTCCGCACTTTTTGAGCTGTGTTATGTTTTTAATTAAGATCTAATAGTGTGTAAGTTCAATTTTCTATGTTAAAATGCGAGATGATGTAAATTAATCAAACAAAATTTGAACAACCTTGAAAAAAAAACGATTACAAAATTAATTAAATTAAACGGGATTATACAGACCCTAACATTTGATGATTAATCAAACTATCAGATGAAACTCTTCTTAGACCCTAATATTGACAGAGGATGAAGCTAAAGATCAGAGGTAGCGATTAGCGAAGACCTAATGGAGGAAGAAGCATCGTTCTAGAAGACTTTATTAATAAAAATGTTTGATCCTAATTAGTG